GGTATGATCAAAGGATTCCAAATTGGCAAAATGTTTATTTCTTTTTGATATTCGGTTATATTGAGGACCTGCTTGTTAGGCGCAGAGATGAAACTCTAAATTGATTTCCTCCGATCAGAAAATGTATTCAGCACAGTGATGCCTCAATTTAGTTGTTTACTGACAGATATGACATTTCGGAAAATAGTCTTCTCACTCTTATTTTAAGGAGGCTGACTCATTGAAAACAACTTGCACACACCCAGACACCAAACTATCTTAAGCATTTCATGGATCTACTCTAAAAGTCACAGTTGTCTACTTTAATGTGGAATTTTCCATTTTCACCTGCTGCAACCTCAAGCACTCTAATGTCAGAGTCAAGAGATATGTTTTTAAAAAAAAGCTGAAAATGCAGTGACGGTTCACGTTGGGAAAGTTTGCAGTTGCATATTTTCTCTAGAAGAAAAAGTAAAAATGTTCAACTGACTGACAATCGGCAAAATTTGACTTGTTTTCTTACTTTTTGTTTGTTTTAAAATCATAAAAATGTCCTTTTTAAGGATCTTAACCAGGATCTTATTATTGCTTTGCTTGCCCATGTGTTAAACGAAATCAGTTCACTCTCAAAGAAAACCTTCCTGAAAAAAGCACATGTATCGCATTCCCTTTTCCAAAAGTCAGATACAATCTGGGATGTAGTCATTGGTATCACTGCAGCCACACATGGTCAGCTCATGTGGTAGTAAACCCCTTTTTGTCGGCACTATAACATGTACTTTTCTTGGATAAAGTGGATTTAAGTGCATCGATTGAGCCGAACGTCATCCGTGTTCCCTCCTGTGTCCTGATATGACAGCAGCCATGGCGACAGCTCCTCAGTCTGGTCTACGCTGCTTCCTGTTCCTCAGGATCCCGTGTGTGTGTGTGTGTGTGTGTGTGTGTGAGATAGAGAGGCAAGAGTGGAAAGGCTTCCCCACATAAAGAGGTCTTTTCATCCCCAGGGCCGCAGCCTGCCCGCCGGCCCCTGGAGAAGTTTGTAGAGGATAAATAAACCTCTTCAGACGGACAGAAAAGATGGAGTCTGTATGCGGCGCACTAACGTACGGCGCTCCGCAGTATCTCAAAGAGAGACTTTATATTATTCTGAAGGGCTATTTGTTATGATATTGAGCCGAGAGGGTAAGAAGGGCCAGGAGGGCAGGGGCCTCTTGATTTATGGAGTGACCGCCTAGCCTGTACTACACACACCCTTACACACACCCTTAAACACACACACTTTTTCTCTTTTGCGATCGCAGATACTTACATACACACACATGTACATATCACAGTTACATACACACTCAAAGAGCACATATCACACATTGCTTCCAGCTGGCCCATGGTTCCGGTGAGAGTGCTCCCACCCCCATCAAAAACACACACACACACACACACACACACACACACACACACACACACACACACACACACACACACACACACACACACACACACACACCAGGCAGCTGATAGCTCACACATGCCACACCGGATAAACCAGCGGGAATGTCTCGGTGTTGATATCTGGCCGGACTGCACCAAAAGGCTGCAGCTGAGCTTTCATTGTTGTGCTTTTTCAGAATGACTTTAGGTTGGATTTATTCATGAATTTGATACAACATGTCATCAAGTAGTTTACAAAGAATATAAACACAAGGATTTGAAAGGGCAAAACCTTTGAATTCGTGTTTTTAATCAAACCAAATGTAATGATTATTTTTTATCATGTGAGGCCATTATTGGGCATGTTTTCAAGTAATATCAGACATCATGCAGATTCATATTCTTCTCTGACTTCTGAATAGTTGATTTATTTGGGAGTCTGCCTTTAAACTTTTTCCTGTGATGTCAAAATGTTTTTATCAGTGTGTTTCCATGGAATAAGTGTACAATTTTGGCTTCGAAACAAACAAAAGTTAGGACCATGAATGTTTGTCGTTTTCTACTTGGTACCATCTTTTTTGAAAAAACACTGTATAGCCAAGGCGCTTACCACTTGGCAGTCAGTACCAAGGTAAACCTGCTTGCTAGTAAAACTTTTAAAGTAATAATGAACTTTTAATGTAAGGCAAGGCAAGGCACGTAAATATTCCCAATAACTCATCAAACTTTGTTTAGCAGGTTGTTATCTAAGCACTATAGAATGGAAAACAATTTTTATAATTTACTGCAGGGGAAACCTAGAGTTATTTCAAGGATTTCTGAAACACTTTCATCAAAACATGGACCTTTTTTGACTTTCCAGGACTCCGGTTCATTAAGCTTCAATGTCAGATTCACAGAATCACAAAAGAAAAATCGGCCCATTTTGATTTCAAGCACTTCCTTCCTCACATGTGAGGAAGGTGACCAAGTGACTGAACATTCATTCACTTCCTCGTGTTCCCACCTTAAAGCTGCTCAACAACTGAGTATTCCACAGCTGGACACACAGCGACAGGATTTTCTTTTCAGGAATTTAAAGTGCTCACTTACTAACTAGGAATCCATCTATTTGCATATTTCCCAGTGACACACTTGCATGACTACATTTCAAAGAGCTGTCTCCTGTCACTGTGATCAAACCTGTGACCGTACATTACAGGACGTTCACTTAGGAAAGGTAGAGCGAGGCAGCATCAGTCTCCACTAAAGCTCAGCGGCTGGTAGATCTGTCCTGAAAGGTCGTGCTGTGGCACCAAGGGGAAGTCTTTCAAACCAGAACCACTTTTATTCAAAGCAGCTTTTTCACCCACATTTAAATCTGCATTTCAAAGTGCAGGATCCGAAGCAAAGGCAGATATTTAGTCATTGCTGGTGACTGAAAAAGGGCGCTTTGCTCTTTGCTCGTTTACCTGAGAAATTGAGTTTTTAATGCATGAGAAATATATCTTTGTTTTGTTGTGTTCTTTAGGAAAATTGCATTTGTTTCGCCTCTGGCAGAGTAAACACACAAGCGGTGAACAAACGTTCCCCCTATCTATTTTCCCAGGATCAAAGCCACATCATTGCCTAGCCTTGCTATGAACAAACCCTTATTAAATAAAATGTTTTTTATAACCCACATTTTTCTCCAAAGAGACCACAGTATGCTTTGAATAGATATAGAGGATAGTTCCAAATAAAAAACGGACACTATCTGAATGGTTCGACACAATTAGACGTGAGTGAGAAAATATGTTCTTTTAATTTGGGTGAACTAGCCCTTTAAGCAGTGCGTAATACAAATAAATAGTTTTTCGTCACTGCCAGAGGAGGTTGTGCTCGAATGCTCGTGCTCCATAAAGCCGAAGTGAGCTATGAGTCTCTGGAGATTATTATATCTACCCCATAAAGCTCGATTTCCCATGTTTAAGATCCTGCAGACATTCTTAGCCCCATTTTCTCCTTTTCTTTCACAGAGGTCATACACGAAAGGTAGCGAGCCATTCATGCTCAGATAGAATTTATGCTCTGTGCACCGTCGCCTCTGTGTTTTTCTTCCCGTGAATGGGCCTTTCTGCTCTCAAAAAGAGGAGTTGTAAATATTGTTGTCAAAGCCAGAGGCCACGCAGAGAACTGCACAGCCACGTTAAGCACATTATGGACTTGACATCTCCTGGATTTTAATGGGTGCAATAAAAGAGAGAAAACTATTCACAACTCTCTATTCAGTTTGTTTTATTTAAGACCCGCAGTACAAAGAACAACTTCTCTGTAGTTTGATTTTGGACGACTGATGATATACAGACATGTTTCAAAGGAGCGATACCTGCTTGTTCTCCCACATAAACGTCACGTCTGTCCGCCTGTAAAGTCCGCCTGTAAAGTCCGCATCAGAATCTGAAAGATCCCATTTATTATTTAAATCTCCGACTATGTATTCCTCGAGAAGATTGTATCGTCTGATTCTAACCTTGCCTTTCAACCCCACCTAACCTCAGTTCGAGGCTGTCTGTGAGAGCGCTGCGTTCACGTTCGCTGCTTGTGAGCAAGGCCGCTGGTCAACAGTGGGTGTATTTGCCGTCATAAATCAAGCTCTTACCACACCTCATCCACTCTCTTTCCCATGGGCGAGTGTGTTGTGTACTCTGTTGCCCGAGCAGCTCATTGAAAGCCTTCACAGCGGGTGTCTGTGCTACATGCTAGCATATGTGGAGGTATGCATGCCTCTGTGTGCGTATGAGTGTCCTTGTGTTTGTGGCGTTTTGCATGAATGGTTGCCTGAGCGACTAGAGTAGTTACTTTTCTATCTGTATAATGGACTTCTGGATGAGAAGACACCTCTTACATGAGGAGACACAAGGGGAACCACTGTTTATTTACCCAGACGTGCCCTCCATGTCTCCCCCGTCCTCAGCGGAGACCGGCATCCTTAGCGAAGCCAGTAAACATGTTGATTTTTCCCCGGCTCAAACCAAGCTGGCACATGGAGCTGGTGGAGTAAATGAGCTGGTGTGTGACAGCAAAGGTTGGAGAGGAGAAGGGAGGGAGGGAGGGGGGGGGGCGTTCATTTCCACACAGCCCAGATCTGTCTCCATCTTCGTGCTGGAATAAAAAGCTGCAATTTTCTGACTTCCAGAGGAAGATTAGCTGATAGTACTCCAGCGGGTCGGCGGTTATTTCTGCTTGACTGCCTCATTGTTTCAGAACGAACGGGGGTCTTTTTCTTATACTGAAAAAACATGTGAATAATGTTGCCTCTAGATAACGCTGTTCATTCAAAATCCTAATCCCTTATTTACTAGATTTCTACAAAGATACCTGTGCTGAGAAAAGTGTTTTGATTGTTTGATTCCTTATTTAGCCTATAATGTTTAATTTCAACAAGTCCACACATTTCCAAAAATGTAAGCTTTTATCACATAAAGTTTCTCAGGTTACATTTTAAAACAAATCACAAGAATTAATAAAACAATCTTAAGACTTAAAAATACATACAATCATATATGAAGAATATTGTTGTGTGGAATACAAAGCATCTGTCTGACCCCACTGTGTCTTCTTCATGTTTGCAGACTCTGGGTCCAGTGAGTCAGCGTTCCTGGAGGACTATGTCCTGGGCATGGGGGAAAACCTGGAGATACCATGTGACCTGGAGGACCACTCCGAGCCCGTCGTCTGGTTCAAAGACGGCGCCGGGCTGGTTCCTGGCAACCGGACGCGGCTGGGCCAGAGGTTGCACATCATCAACGTGTCGTACGAGGACTCAGGCGTTTATTCGTGTCGGCTCGCACAAAGCAACACGCTGCTCAGCAACTACACCGTCAGGGTGACAGGTGAATGGAATATTTGCTCATGAGATAATTTAATGGTTTATCAGAAACAATACTTGCTTTATTCTTAAGACAATCAAGATACTTTTGTCATTTATTTGAGCCAGATTCTGCCAAAAATGTCATCCTGTGATGTCTAAATGCCAATCCCGAGAGTTTCTACATAAACGATTGTCCCTTTGTGGCATGGAAACAGTCTAATGTAAAGATAAGGAACAAAGTTGTTGACTTCACTGTACCATCCTTTTGAAAACCACTGATGGGAGCGACCCGATTGGCCGCGTTTAACCTTATTACGGGCCTCTAGAAGTCCTAATAAATAAGATTTAACTAAAGATATAGAAATTATCTCTATGCAATGAGGAACAAGATGTAAGATCTGCAAATCACATGTTCAGAAATATGCCTGTTAAATAAGACATAACACCAAGGACATACAGAGATACTCGAGTCAGTAGCAGGGCTCCAATAGAAACAGGCACTTTGGCTGCACCCTGGATCTCTCAGAAAACCGACCTGCCCCAGGTTTTTCTGCCCGTCTGACAGACAGCTAAGAATCAAAGTATTTCCTGTCAATAAACAGAGTGGAACAATTACAGCAGTGTTGTCTAGACATGACAGCTTTTTATACTGACTCGAAGAAAGACGGTGAAAACTTTGCTCAAGAGGAAAGTTCGATTATTTTCTCCTCCTTCTCGGTTTCAACTCCCCGTTAGCTGTCTGCCAAGCTGCACACACACACACACACACACACACACACACACACACACACACACACACACACACACACACACACACACACACACACACACACACACACTGGCACAGCTTTGCACCAGCTAACACCAAGCCAAGTTTTGATTCCCCCTCATGATGCACAGTCAAAGGTGAAATTCATTATAGGGTGAGAGGATGAGTGACATCTTAAACAAGTGTGTGATGCAAACAGAGCTTCTGTAGGAGAGGGGTGTGGGGGTCAAAAAGGAGCGAGCAGTAGCTTGAAAGTCGGTGTTTCATTCCCGTAAAACTCATGGACACCAGCTGAGCCTGTTATTGACAACTAATTAGAAAGCAATTAGCTCGAAACATTTCATTATTGAAAACAGATGGGGTGGCAAGAAATGAGAGAGTTTGCCCCCCATCAACACACACACACACACACGTGTTTGGCTGCAAGTTTAGGAGAAAATTGCCTTTTCCAGGACTGATCAGAGGTGGACAGCTTCTTCTTCTTCTCTTCCTGGACCCACATATCAAACAGTATCAACACTGCAGGACAACACATGCAAACACACTCCCAGTCCCCAACACCACTGACTTATAAAGGAAGATACCCCAACCTTTCCAAGATATGTTCAGCTCATAAATCAGATTTTTCTTTTTTTTAAACAAGAGTAAAAACAAATCTCTCATTGAGGTGAGGTGAGATAACTTGATGTGCTTCCAGCTTAGCATGTTTCTGGAGAAAAACCACAGAGCAAGTGAATATCATTTTAATATTCAGTAGGCCTACTTGGCTCAGACTTTAAACAGTAGTCTTTGTTGGCAATATCCTGTTGTTCTCTTGCCCTACTTCAAACACAGAGCCTCGGCTTCATCTAAAATACACATGGACTGTTTTGTTTTCCCTCAAATATTTAAGTAAGGTGTCAGATATTTAGAAACGGTATCAGATGTAACACATGGACGGCTTCCAGGCAGTGCAGATATGCAAGCTAATATTGTTCTCAAAAACAAACACACCCGGTACGCATGTTGGAAGAAAGAGGGCTGTATTGTGAGGGACTGAAAGATGTTTTATTTGTATTTTATATGTAAAATGTAGTGTATTGAAATGAGTAACTTTGGTTAGAGGTTTTGTAGGGACCTAATAGCTTTGTTAAATATGTTGCTTACACATGGGTGTAGATTAGCTTCAGCCAAAGCAAATATCCTAGTGTGCTAATAAAATTAGTTATAGATGTCTAAGAACTGTTCACTTTAGTTGAGTTGTTATAATTCACATTTTTAGTGCATTACTCTTTATTTGTACAATCAAGTTTATATACTTCAAGCTAATATTCTAACTTTGGCTGTGTTTAGTGCTAATTAGCAACTATTAGCATGCCAACACGCTAAACAACAGCCTCCTGTAGCTGCTAGCATGTCTGAGTGTTCAGATTTCAATAATATCATAAATCACTCATCTATTAGCTCTATTTTGTGAGCCAGAAACCTTTTTGGTTTGTTTTTGCAATAATGAAGCTCACCCAGACTGTAATTTGAAGTTTTAACTAGCTTCTACTGCTGAGACTGGAGTGTTGAATTGAGGTGTCAAATAATAGAAACTAAAAGCTGCTAGTCAGGCATTTCAGGAGCAGCTTAAGCTAACGGGGTTGTCGAGGTAGCAGCTGGCTCTCATTAACCAGACCCGTGGAGCCGAACCAGAAAACTTGAGGTCAGATTGAAAAATAATTACAACACAGCCGTGAAAATGTGTGAATCTGTTTCGTATCTGCGTCTGGAGAATAATTAGAGGTCATCGGACACGCTTACTGTTAGCAAGAGTTAGCGCCAGAGTGTGTTGCAAAGACAGAAAGAGTTGTTTTTGTATGTGCGTCTGCACACGTGAACACACACCAGTGTGTTTCATTTCTAGCGTCTGTGGAAATATTTTGTTTGTAATCTCTGAGCAAGTCGCCACACTGCAGAGAACTGTAGACTCATTCATGAGTTTCTCATTGAGCAGGTCAGTTTTAAAATGCATTCATGCGTATGTGTGTGTATTAACTTGTGGCGAACCCACACTCTTTATTCTCCACTGAGCATTTAACAGGCACACAATTCCTGCTTTGTTTTCCCCCTCGCTATTTTCCTCTCGCAATGGGCTACAAGCTTTCCAGATGTACTTTTTGTGTTATCTGATGGCTGACATAGTTCAATTAGTCTGAAGAATGAGAAACTTGTCCAGATGATTTAGTACAGATCCAAAATAACATTTGTTCAACTTTCTTTTTTGAAAATGAAATATTAAATCGGCTCTATTTCTCTTTTATTTTAAGATTCACTCTCATCCGGTGATGATGAAGACTATGGCGAAGACTCAGAAGATACAGGTAATGAAAATGTTGAATTCTTAATTTCCTTTTTTTTTTAATAGCCTACATCCTTTTAGTGAAATTGCCATTCAGTGTCAGCAGAATGGCACTAATTTGAAACTTTTCATGCCGAAAGAGATATTTTAGGACTCGTATGCTTATGATAAACGACATTTGACAAAACAAAACAAAACCAAATAACTTTAACTGATATCTGTATAAATCTTCATATTATTTTCTACCAAACTTTTTTCTACCAAATCATCAAACTAATGTTCCATATTTGTAACCACCTATGAGACCTCATTACGAGCTGGTGTTTTTTTAATACCTTACCCTTTTTAATTGTGATCTAGGCTGATTTATAAATATTTTAGTTTGGCTTTTTTATTGACTGCTATGCTGTTTTTTGAAAACATGCCATTGAAATGTAAAAATAAAATAAACTTACAGTCCTTCTACATTTCTGAAAGCAGAACAAAGCATCCTCCAGTAGTTTTGTCCCGTAGCTACAGTATTCTTAGGACTTAAACATTGAGCATTAATGTGTTTTTTAATGTGCAGAATACAACCTGAGTTGCATTAAGGCAGCACAACTATGTCGTTAAGCCTAATGAGCAGCAACTGTTGCCACACACAGCTGAGTGACCCGGAGCTGTGAACTGCTGTGAGGGTCAGAGTGAGGGGAGTTACACATTATCATACAACTTTATTATTATTTAGACATTATTATACAACTTTATGGGAACATTAAGAAGTATAGATTTTAAATAAAGGCTATAGAAATAATTATTGTATCCTTATATGGCCTTTATTAATGTTAAAGGCTATGTGGTTAAATCACTAAAATAATCATAATCAAACCACAGTTAAAATGACAGATTGCGTTTTGTTTTTTACGTAGACAAAAGTTACTTAACAGTACAAACATCAGATATAAAACATAAGTTTAACAAAGCAATGGCAACCAGCATGACTTGAAAAAGGACGCTAATGTACTTATTGTATACTGAACTGTAATTTGATTTAAAAAAAAAAAAACTGAAGTGTACCCTCTAATCTTTGATAGTTTTAATGTTTGAAAGACGTTTTTTCACACAGCCTAAAACCTCACCCCAGGTGGTTCTCACAAACGTTCACAAACTCCTTATCAAGTCTCTATATCTTTCAATTAAGGATTATTGTGTGGCAAATCCTATTTATTAACAAACCTTATTACATGATGAATTGGTTGAAAAGTGCAGCCGAGTATTTGCTGTAGTTCCACAGTCCTCTTGTGTGTTTATGTCGTCCACAGTGAATCTGCATTATAGAGTTTCACTTGTCACCGTGATAAAAGATGTTGTCTGTAGGAGCAAAATAAATGGCTTAGAAGGGAGCTTTTATTGGCAATTACATGACAATCATTGGATTTATGCAACTGATTAGATTTCTATGAGTGTGATCTGGGTTTTTATATCTGTAATTGGAATTATATGGCTCTCATAACCGCTCACTTTGCTCGTATTCAAGCCTCTCCCCAGAGCACTATACCGAAAGCCACTATCTTGCAGATCAAAAGCCGGTGTTTCTGCTGCAGTTTAACACTCACTGTTGTGATGTGAGCTGTTTTGGCATTCGGAGACGTGCTGAGTTCAGGTGCATGTGAACAAAGAACAATGAGCGATGGCTTCTTCTGGCTGCGCCCGCTTTACACACTCTGTTCTGTCAGCTAGCATGACTCCATAGAGACTCAAAGCGTCTCCGCCCTTCAGAGGGCTCTCGACCAGCCAGACGCATCACTGTGCTGCCTTTGTTGTGGCATATGGAGGGAGACAGAGGAAGGTGAGCGGAGAGACAGTCAGACACAGATGAGGAAAAGAAAGTAATGAAAGAAAGGATAAGTGTGAAACAATAGAGCCTGACACATAATCTCTAAAACCTGCAGAAAATAGAAAGTTAGATTTCATTCATGTTTATACCGTTGAAAAATGCTTAACTTTACTCTCACTGTTTGCATTAGACCAGTCCACATCGTGACAGTGAACTGCAAGTCAGTAAAAAAACACCCAAAACCATGCAGGCGGTATCAGATAGTCAATCATATCTTGAACTGAATCCCAGTCCAACTTAACTGCTTGTCAAAATTGGTGCCAGAGGCAAAATGTGGAACTGTTTTTGTGACGGTGCGACAGGCCCAAGCGAAATCAAAGCCTCTTTGTAAACGTTTCGACCAAACCAAATGTTGTCACATTGAACTCAAAATAAAACAGACACACGCTTTGATTATTAAACAGCCCAAAAGCCGCCGGGGCGTCATTAGTGTTTCACCCAACCTATTGAAATCCAACTACAATCATTAAAAGCTGTCAAAGTATCGACTGGCGAGAGAAAAAAAACAGTTTTTGTTTCTAGCAAATGATGGGACAACTGCACATTATAACCTCCTAGATGAAGGACTGTTCTATTGGGCTGCATTAGGTTTAGCTACATGTAGTTGTACCTTTTTATAAAATTGCAAGAGCAGCTGGAAAACTCTTGTATTAATCCCCAATCTCTCTCTCCTCATTTCTGGACAAACTAAAATAAAATGGGCAAAAATATGATGTATAAGTAATCACCTTTATTATAATAATCCTCTTATTTTACGACTCTAAAAGTAGGTTTTAAAAGTATTTGGTAGCACTCGATTTAACGAGCATAGGAATTTCTGTTAATATTCTTTGTCTTGGCTCACTTTCAACATTTAATCCCTGCTTTTGCTCACTTTGGATATTGGAGAATTGGACATGTAATCTTTATATTCATACAGCATTGCCGTTTTCTATAAGGAGATGCAAGGAGATTATAGAAGAAAGCAGCAGAATAAGCTTTAGAGTTACAACGCAAAACACTTCCCGTTGCTGTACTGAAAGTCGCTGCGGACAAGCTTTGCACCTGCAATGTAAAACCTGATTGTGTTTTAATGCGCAGCTTCAATTCATGGTGAAAGCCTGAAGTGTTTTCTAAATGGGCCGAAGTGGCAGCAGTGGCAGAGCTTACTGCAGACATCCTGAATGCCGGTAAATAGCCTCAGACTGCCAGACTTAATCTCTGCATGTAAGTCTACCTCATGACATACAAGGCTCCGATTTCCTAGCCAAAAGGAGAGGGATTAGCCCAGAAACGTTAAACCCCTATCGCTGCTTAATGTGCGCTAAGCCACCGCTAATTAGCCGGCTATAGCAGGAAGGATCCATGTGACGAAACGCACAGCCAGGCGGAGAGTCCCTGTCGGTGAGCGGAAGAACCTCCACATCCACATGCAGAGAGGACGTTAATAAAGATGTTGGCATGGTGACAGAGTCAGGCTATTAATGAGGGAGTTGGGATGGAAAACATTTGCAGATTGACAGCGAGACAGGGGGAAAGAAGAGAAAAGACGGAAATAAGGAAGAGAAGATTTGAGAAGTTGAGTCACTGTAGCTGCCAGATGAAATGATGCTGCTGGCCACAGCTGACAGTCCTCAAAGCAGAGACAAACAGATAGAAAGAAAGAAAGACAAGAAAGCTGCTGCAGTCATGAGCTCATTCTCCACCGTCCTCCAGAAGCCACTCAGCTCTCTCTCCCGATGGTCTTCTGGCAAAAAGCAGAGAAGGGAGGATAGATGCCTGCCAAGTGGACAAAGTTAATTCCTTTGCACAAATCAGATTATCGGCCAATTTGACACTAGAATTGTCTTTAATTTCCAGAACAATAGCAGCCATGTCTGTGGTGTGTGTATATTTTCTATTTAGGTAAAGGCAAGGTTTAGCAGGACTAACTGTGAAGTTTGAACCAAACTGTGACGTTGATATTGGTTGCAGAAATCACACAAATAAGGTCAAAGTTAGTGCAAGTTATGCCATCTTAAAGTGTGTAAATCATTACTGATTAGGACATCACCAAGCAAGGAAACTCCCATGAAGTCTACTTTGGTAACGGCCATTTTAACAAATACAAATATTTAGCTTGAACAAATCCTAAGTCACCATTCGGTCCAGGTTTTAAGACAAAATGTAGAGCTGTCAGATGAGCAAATAAAAGCACATATGAGTTATTAAAGTGAGTATCTTTCGCAGTATGAAAAGCAGGGTACAAACACACACGTGTGTGTGTGTGTGTGTGTGTGTGACACACACACACACACACACACACGTGTGTGTTTGTACCCTGCTTTTCATACTGCGAAAGATACTCACTTTAATAACTCATATGTGCTTTTATTTGCTCNAGAATAGATATGGTGTAAATGTACTGTTTAGTTAATACTCTTGATCTGTATCTCTTAACCCTCGTAATGTCCTCCCGATTACTATGCACCTTGTGCCCATATTTAAAGCATAAAGTATCAAATGTAATCCACTTTGTGTTACACCTTTAATTTTGCTTCAGTACAACCCATTACCACACATTTTTCCCTTAGTTTTGGAATTTAGGGCCGATACACCCTTATTTATATGAAATTATACCATTTTCTGATTTAAAAAACAAGTGAAATAATTAATTAATTTGACCATATTGTATTGTGACTATTTGTCTTATCACAGACTGGTATATGTCAAAGTTTAGTAAGGATGCAATTTTTGAATAATTTATATTTTTTTAATGGCAACACATAATCACACCTTGTGACCCCGTCTGGCTTGACTGCTATTTAAAACATAAAGTATAAAATGTCAATACATTTTGTGTTACACCTTTAGTTTTGCTTCAGTCCAACCCATTGCCACACATTTTTCCCTTTGTTTTGGAATTTAGGGCCAAAATACCTTATTTACCGTATATGAAATTTTACTGTTTTCTGAGTTAAAAAACAAGTGAAACTATTTAATAATTTGAACATATCGTATTGTGACTATTTGTCTTATCACAGACTGGTATATGTCAAAGTTGAGTAAGGATGCCCTTTTTGAATAATTCATATTTTTTAAATGGCAACACATAATCACACCTTGTGCCCTCATTTTTGACCCTGTCCGGCTTCACTGTTATTTAAATGAACCAGTCAAAAAGTGACACGTTTATTCAAGGCTTCTGTTAATTCAAATGCACCAAGAGTAAAGTTTTGCAAGTCAAGATTTAAAAGAAGTGATGCAAAAAGCTGATATATATGATTCACATTTGTGAAAGCCGGACATCTCGGCTGCAGTTCTGAAAAATATATGAGCTGTGCTTTTATTTTGCAACAGTAATAAGAGTGTTTCATCATGCTTTCAGGAGACTGGCTGATGGCAGCATTGTGGAAACTACAGGGGGAGATAATTAAATCTGTTGCAGCGTTTGCTCACTACGGAATAATATTCCTAAAAGGTAAGCATGATAGTCAAATAAAATACAATCACGGGGAGTCAAATTTAAATGATTGTCAGTCTTATGAGAATTGTTCTTATGAACTTCTTATTTTTATTTACTACTGCATGTACAAATTAGGATATAGTCATTCAAAACCTCTATGTATTATTTACAAAATTGTTAAAGTAAGCCATAACTAGAAAGTTAAACTAGTAGTTTAGTCATTTCAAATGATGGGATACAATTTGAGAAATGTTACCATTTTAAGAATATTTCAAGTCAG